AGGAAGGAAGTTGTCTTCTGTGATCTCTGACCTTCCTCTGAGCTTACGTAGATATATGGAATGGAATATCTTTGGCCAATTTTGCTGTCTGTCTAACTCAGCCTCCTACGGGGGGGTCACAGATCTCCCCATAGTGTCTGAGCCGGCAGAGTGCAGGTGCAGCCTTGAAGCCTCAGTAGTTAGAAAAACATTCCAGTGTCTTATCAGCCTAGCAGAGCACACTGTTGCTAGTTGAAAGAAAGCTTACTGAAGGAAAAAAAAAAATCAGTAAAAAAGAAAAATTGTCTTCATCCTGGCTCAAACCAGGACACCTGTGATGGCTTTTAATAGCTGTAATTAAATATTGAGAATATAATATCTGCCAATGTGGTGTAGACACACGGACTGTCTATGATTGTGATGTTAGAGCTAGTTGAAAGAGAATTGAGATGGAAAGGAGACACCTGGAAATTCAGGGGGAAAAAAAAAATGGAAATTTTGCAAGGCGTAGGCCCGGAAAGGGCATTTTTCTTCCGGAAGTTTTGGATTTCCAGCCTCAGGTGGAATTTAATGTAATTTGTTCCCTCTAATATTCACAGAATCATAGAATGTCTTGGGTTGAAAGGGACCTCTAAAGGTCATTTAGTCCAACCCCCCTACAATAAGCAGGGACATCTCACACTAGGACAGATTGCTCATCAAGCCTGACCTTGAATGTCTTTAGAGATGGGGCCTCCACCAATTCTCTAGGCTACCTTTTCTGGCTATCCAGCACCCTCATACTAAAGAACTTTTTCCTAATGTCCAACCTAAATCTACCCTTTTCTACCTTAAAACCATTACCCCCTGTCCTGTTGTTACATGCCCTAATGAACAGGTCTTCCCCAGCCTTCTTATTGGCTCCTTTCAGGTATTGGAAGGTTGCTGTAAGGTCCTCCTGGAGTCTTCTTCATGCTGAAGAACTCCAACTCCCTCAGCCTGTCTTCGTAAGAGAGTTGCTCCAGCCCTCTGATCATTCTTATTGGCCTCCTCTGGACATGTTCTAACATGTCTCCATCCTTTTTGTGCTGTGGGCTCCACAGCCAGATGCAGTACTCCAGGTGAGGTCTGACCAGGGCAGAGCAGAGGGGCAGAATCACCTCTCTCAATCTACTGGCCACACTTCTTTTGATTGCAGCCCCGGATGCTGTTGGCCTTCTGGGCTGCAATTGCACATTGGTGGCTCATGTCCAGCTTTTGATCCACTAGTACCCCCAGGTCTTTTACCACAGTGTTGCACTCTAGCAGATCTTCCCCCAGTCTGTGTTCACATCGCTGGTTGCCTAGGGGGCAGGACCTTCATATGGCCTTGTTGAACCTCATGAGGTTCACCTGGGCCCACTTCTCCAGCTTGTCTGGATGGCATTCTTCCCTCTGGCCTATCAACCACACACCACCCAGCTTGGTGTCATCAGCAAACTTGCTGAGGGTGCTCTCAATGCCATTGTCAATATGATTAATGAAGATACTAAACAATGCTGGCCCTAGTATGGACCACTGAGGGACACCACTTGTCACCATTTCCCATCTGGACATCAAACCATTGACCACTACCCTCTGGATGTGACCATCCAGCCAACTCCTTATCCACTGAACAGTCCACACATTGAACCCTTATCTCTTCAACCTAGAGAGAATAATGTTGTGGGGGACTGTGTCAAAGGCCTTGCAGAAGTCCAGATAGATGACATACATAGGTCTTCCCTTGTCCACTAATGCCCCTAGGTTGGTCAGGCAGGATCTGCCCCTAGTAAAGCAAAGCTGTGCTGGCTGTCCTGAATCACCTCCCTCTCCTCCATGTGCGTTAGCATGTCTTCTAGGAGGATCTGTTCCATGATCTTTCCAGGCACAGAAGTGAGGCTGACAGGTTGGTAGTTCCCAGGATTCTCCTTGTCTTTTCTTGCCTATTTCAGCTTCAGCTCTGCCTTGGCCTTCCTGACCTCATCCCTACACAACTGTTTGTCCCCATAGTGTCTTAAGTTAACTCAGTAAGAAGAAAAGAGTATATGCTTTGAAAATAAACATTGTTCTGAAATAAAGAGCATGAAATGGTCAGTCTGGCATGATGTCAGACCTGCACAAGCAGACGTGTCTTAGGCCAGATAGAAGGTGCCGTCACAAAGTCACATAAAAGATGAAGTTATTGAATCTAAAGTTATTGAACTCTAAAGTTATTGAATTAATTGAAATAACTTGAATTAATTGAAATCATATTGTATTATTGAAATAACTCTAAAGCTATTGAATCCAGACTTCTGGATTGTACAAGGCATGACACAGATTGATCAAGTTCCCTCCTCGTGCAAGTCAAACCTTTTTTCTGATTGTTAATGGAAGGAGAGAGATTTAGGCAGTAATCAGTCATGTGACTTTTCAGCTGCAATTTAATCTTGGCCACTTAACATTGATAGAGGAATAAGTGTACGTTATTTTTCAGCTAGAATATGTGTTCTCTGGGTATTTTTATGGATAGCAATTGTAACAGTTTTCAGCTTTCATTCTGGAAAGCTAAACAGATCAGGCTCAGACTCCCCATTCTTCTCACCATCCCAGTAGGCTTGCTCCATGCCTATTCCACATCAAATTCAACTTTCAGGAATACATTTGCATCTGGTTTCCAGACATTACAAGTGAGGATGTTTGCTGAAGATTATATTTGCTGTTTCCACCCTCACACGGTGCTAATGTCATGGAATGTTTTATGATAGACTACACTCCTGGGTTCCTTGCTTTTCTCAGCAGTTTTCAACTGCAAACATGTTGTCACAAAATTCTTATCATTACTAATAATCTATTTCTACTGGCAGAAGATGACTGAAAATATTTTTGTGAAGTATATTTCAAGTCAGATAATCCTGTAAGTGATGTTGAAAGGAAAAAAAAAAAAAGCAAAACTGGCTTCTAATTTCTTGCTCAAGGAGATAAAGAGCTGAACTTTTGTCATCTAAGAGAGCTGAGTAATTTTTGGTGTTTCTGGGCCCACACAGAATAAAGAAATTGCTAAAGGAAGGAAACACAGCAAGGAAGACAGAAAACAACCCCCTGTTTCCTTCAGCTTCCCTGCCAAGGAAAGATCTCACATGTAATTTAGTGCATTAGAATTAGACAGGAGAAACTGTTTTACTTACCAGCTTCTGCATGAGATGATTTACTGGCAATATTAAATGACCTTTTTCTAGACATTGTCTAAAAGTTTCTCCACACTTGCAAGACTGACATGATAAATCCAGTAACTAAATTTTCACTGATTTTATGGAGACTGTCAGTGGAAATGTGAAACTGGAATTGAATCCCATGCAGTATGTTAACAACAATTGTGATCTATGGCACAGCAAAAAAGTTCTGGTATTTTGTTTTTACTTAATCTTTGCCAGCCTAAACCCTTAGTATTCAGAAGATTGTTAAAGGCCTCCTGACATTGACCTCCTGAAAAGTGCTATTATTTATATTTTTGACTTCTGAGTTTTTCTGAAATGCTGGCTTTCCCTGTCACATTAGTTCCCTGTATTCTGTTTCCAGGCAGATTTTGGCAATGCAGAGGTGTAGAGAAAGAGAACAATGTAATGCTTTGCAGCCTTCAGAGGTATCGTGGGGACCTGACATCAGTAATGGAATGCAAATATTTAATTCTTGAATTCTGGCCTGATGTCAAAAGAGTTTTGTTGGACCATGTGTTATTCTGACCACACACTAACTTGGACTATATGTGAATTGCTCAGGCCCACATTCAAATACTAATTAGGTGGCCTAGACCTCAGGCTATTATTTTGAGGATGATATATTTAATAGTATAAAATTCAGTGGGACACTCCTACATGTTGGTGAGCTATCTGTGCTCCTTCTTGCTTGCCACAAATGCAGTCATACTTGATCTTTTGATTCTGCAGGGGGAGCTCACTGTAGGAGCATCACTGGAACAAGCAATTTTTTTTTCTAGTAGGTGTGACAAGACCACACATCTG